CCTTCCCTTCCTTCCCTTCCCTTCCCTTCCCTTCCCTTCCTTCCCTTCCCTTCCCTTCCCTTCCGTTCCGTTCCGTTCCGTTCCGTTCCGTTCCGTTCCGTTCCGTTCCGTTCCGTTCCCTTCTCTTCTCTTTTCTTCTCTTCTTTTCCCTCTTCTCTTTCTCTATCTCTCCCTTCCTTCCTCTCTATTTGAATAATTAATAATGAATTCTGATTTTCATAACTTTTTTGGATCTAGTGGACAAATTATTTTCTATTTCTAAAAGATTCTACAAACATTCTAATCTAAAATCTTAATTTGAGAACTGATTTTGGTCCAAAAGTAGTCAAAATTTAATTAATCCTCTTTTTGTATGTTACAGATTGCAGCTGTGTATTACTACCTATGCGTAGTAGCGTTACAATTTGTCGTTCCCATAATTATATGTTTATTTTTTACATTTCTGTATAAAACACTGGGTATAAAGAAATATTTTCTTTCTGAATTATATCATCTGTTTATGACGTAAAACATATTTGCACATATATTTTTTATTGAATTAGGTGATTTTACCTGGGAAGGTATTTTAAAAAAAACTTTAGAGGAAGAGTGTCCAGTGAACGAATTACCGAAATCATTATCGTCTGCAATTAGTACTGATGATATCGATAAAACTATAATACAAACTACTGAAGAAATTCAACTTACACTTGGTTCATTAAAACAGGTAATAGTTCAATATATTTACAAAAATATATTTTTTAAATTATATAATGTAAATATAATGTAAATAATATAAATATAATAATTATAATGAATGGTACTGCTGGAGAGAGAAGATCTTTGTGTGTAATAAAAAATTTTTGTTTTAGTTAAATTTATATTTTATAAATTCAAAACATAATTGCTTTGCGAATTATGCGCCGTATTATTATTAACATACACTCAATGCAGTAACTATATTAATAAATCAATAATCAAATCTGAAAAATGTATCCCTTCCTCTCTTCCTTCCATAAAATTCTTATTGCGAAAAATATTAAATATTAAATATATCATTTCAGTCAGGAGTCGAACATGAATCGCTTGCTTTTCAGGCAAGCGTTTTATCTTTTGTCTACTAAAGCATGTAGTATTTATTGCAATAATCATATAAATACTAAGAGTGTATGAGTGTATGCCATGAATGAACATGATAAATAATTAATCAAGCCGAAATAAGATTCAAATAATAGCATAATAAGTGGCATTGCTTGAGAGGCAGGATCATTATGTCTAATAATTTTTCTTTTGATTTTATATTTTATAAATTCAGAAAACAGTTTATCATAAACTACTTGCTGTTATTAATTAACGGATTTTCAATGCAACAGCTATGTTAATATACAAAGATGATATATTTTTTTATTATTGGATCTTGAATTATCAATAATAAATAATCAATATTAATCATAAATATTCAATATAATAGCATAAAAAAATATATTTCATTTGTTTACAGATATTTACTACAGACGTGTACAGAGGTATCTTAGGATTAGCAACATGGTGGAGTTGTTTTGCATTATTTGCAACTAGTGCTATGGGCATGTTCTATCAATCATATTTCTCAAATGTGTGAAGAGATCTTTTAGGAAAAAAGAATCCTGATATCATTTCGCACAAATTTTCATTAGTTCATAGCTCAATCATTTATTATAGATAATGTTGTCTATCGAGATACGTATTTTTAGATTTTACCTATTTTACCTATTTTACCTATCGTCAAATAATTAAAATAATAGCGTTCTGTACAGTTTTGTAATGTGCGTATGGTAATAAATATCGCATTATAAATAAAAATATTCTCTCTAGAACTTAAAAATACTTTTTAGAACTGATTGAAAAAATATTTAAAGCCTATATTTAATGTGCACAATCTACAAATAAAACAAGAAGAGAAAGAAAAATTAATATTGTTTGTAATTATTTATTACTTTCCTTGAATAGATGATTAAATCGAAAATGTCTAAAATACTTATATATTCTGTCTTAAAAGAGTCATATTTGTAGCACAAATATTCGCTACATGCGGTAGAAATAAA